AGGAACTGCAGCTTCTGGTTCTTCACTGTTAAATGTTGAAACGTTCCTTTAAATGCACCAAAACATTGTTCTCAAGCAAAGAGGTGGTTCAGGTAGAAGCTGTAGTGAACCGTGACAGCTGTGGATCAGCTGAGCTCAGCAAAGTCCAAAATACTGTGAAGCAGAGTCGTGAAGTTGGCAGTTGGTCATGTGACCGCTTTCCAACACAGAACCGTCGCCCTCCATTCTCTCTCTCTCTGCGTTCCTCTGTTGAACTATGAACACGTTTTTTCCCAGATGTGATTACAGTAGGTCACAGCACAGGAAGTAGTATTGTTAGTGTGGAGGCATTTCCCTCCGAACAGGAAGTGGAACATGTGAAGTAAGAAGTCGTCCTGTAACAGAAGCAGCAGCTACAGTCAGAGGACAGACCTCTAATGTAACTCTGCAGGTGTGTCCTCCGTCTGTCTCTCAGGTGTGTCCTCTGTCTGTCTCAGGTGTGCCCCCTCTCTGTGTCTCAGGTGTGCCCCCTCTCTGTGTCTCAGGTGTGCCCCCTCTCTGTGTCTCAGGTGTGCCCCCTCTCTGTGTCTCAGGTGTGCCCCCTCTCTGTGTCTCAGGTGTGCCCCCTCTCTGTGTCTCAGGTGTGCCCCCTCTCTGTGTCTCAGGTGTGCCCCCTCTCTGTGTCTCAGGTGTGCCCCCTCTCTGTGTCTCAGGTGTGCCCCCTCTCTGTGTCTCAGGTGTGTGCTCTGTCTGTGTTTCAGCTGTGTCCTCTGTCTGTCTCAGGTGTGTCCTCTGTCTGTCTCTCTGGTGTGTCCTCTGTCTGTCTCAGGTGTGCCCTCTGTCTGTCACAGGTGTGTCCTCTGTCTGTGTTTCAGGTGTGTCCTCTGTCTGTGTTTCAGGTGTGTCCTCTGTCTGTGTCTCAGGTGTGCCCTCTGTCTGTGTCTCAGGTGTGCCCTCTGTCTGTGTTTCAGCTGTGTCCTCTGTCTGTCTCAGGTGTGTCCTCTGTCTGTGTCTCAGGTGTGTCCTCTGTCTGTGTCTCAGGTGTGCCCTCTGTCTGTGTCTCAGGTGTGCCCTCTGTCTGTGTCTCAGGTGTGTCCTCTGTCTGTGTCTCAGGCGTTCAGCTGTAATGAGTGTCATAGGTGAAGGAAATTTCCTGGCTGCTGACTGTATTTACTGCACACACACAAACACACACACACACACACACACACACACACACACACACACACACACACACAGTGTCGTGTCTCCTGGGACGAACACCTGAACCCGCAGCTGTAACCTGAAGCTGTGAGGACTCTTCCTCTTCTCACCATCAGACATCGTCTCGCTTCATTTATTCATGAACAGACGATTCCAGGATGGAAAACCTCCGACTGATCCGGTTCTCCAGCGATCAGCCGATCAACTGATGATCAATCTGTTCTGATAATCGATCGCTGTCTCAGTCATTTATAAAGTGAAAAGCTCAAACCTTTGTCAGTTCCTCAGGCGTCTCCGTGTGTCACAGGGAACTGAAGAGTTTTGGTTTCCGGCTGTTGATCAGACAAAACAACATTAAAGACGTTTAGAGATCGATTGTGAACTTAATTGGCAGATTTATTGATAATTAGCTTATTGATATCCTTAAAAGCAACCATGAGTACTTCATTTAAAAGGTTTCTCACAGGAGAACAGATCAATAATCATAATGTAATTATATGTATATGGATCTGTGTGGGCTGCTGCTGTTAGCCTGTTAGCCACATTAGCTCCCACAGTTTATATTTACAGCTCCACCTGTTCCCCTCCCCCTCCAGCTCTTGACCAGGTGTGTTTGAGTCTGACTGCACTGTGTCGCTGTGGTGTGACCATCATAAGACCTTGATGACATGATACACCTAACTCCACCCCCCACCCCCATACCCACACCCACACACACACACACACACACACACACACAGACACACACACACACACACAGATTCGTAGACGTCTGGTTTTGTTTGAAGATGCTGGTGAATCACATTGATGCTGTAATGATGACTGGAGCCTCTGGGGGGCGCTCACAGCAACATCACATGGTCAGCACATTTAGAAGCACAGACTTCAGTGAACGCCTGGATGGTGACATGCTGAGTGTGTGTGTGTGTGTGTGTGTGTGTGTATGTGTGTGTGTGTGTGAAGTGTAAACTAGATTTTAAAGGTGACCTCACTGTGTCTAGAGCTGAGTCAGAGGCGGAGACTTTCTGCTGTTGTTGACTGTGGACTGAGACTTGACGTGTCAGCGTGGACGAACAGAGCGGCGGCCTCTCTCACTGCGACATGACATCATCTCTGTCATCCCTCCGGTGGCGTCTGTTCATGCGGGAAGGAGGATTTCTGCCTCCAGTGTTGAATACAGCGTTTAAATAAAGTGTTTAGAAACTCAACAGACACGTGCTCTGGTCCCTGAACACACCGTCCACTGTTTCCATAGGGACTGATTGTTTGGTTTAATGTGGCGTATGTGTGTGTTGAAGTTCAGTCTTCAGCAGGGAAACAGTGACAGTCTTAACTCAAGGTCCACTTACTAGCTTTTTTCCAGGGCTTTCATCCATATCTCACAGTCTTCTTTCATCAAACTCAAAACTCAGAATAACTTCACTTATCTGTTAGGACCTTCATGTTTGTAAATAAAGATGGACGTCACTTCTTTGACGGAGCGGTGTGGGCGGAGCCAAGACTTTGGTGCGTGTTGGTTTGTGACAAGCATATGCTCACCCACCTGTCACCCAAAGAGGCCACGCCCTCAATCCTCCATAACTGTAGTCCTTAATAAAATGTAAACAGGTGAGTTTTATAAACAGGTGAGTTATATAAACAGGTGTCATGAAGGAGGAAATCAGCTCTAGAGACCAAAACAGTTTCTGTACCAGGCTGTAAACACGTTTATTTCTGCTGTAAAGTTGGACATTTTAACATGGGAGTCTGTGGGGACTGACTCACTGTTGGAGCCAGACTCTAGTGGTCGTTAGAGGAACTGCAGCTTCTGGTTCTTCATATTGATGCTTCATGTTTCAGCCTCGGTGGCTGCTGATTGGTCAGCACATAGTCGGTGTAAAACAGTTTAAAAGAGGCTTGAGAGTCTGAGCTGGATTCTGAAGGTGGTTTTTAAACATTTATACATTTTCTATGTAAAAGCTCAATGCATCAGATAATTGTAGTGGAGTACAGGTAAGAATACAGTCAAACTGCCTGTAACAGCATGTTCAACAATGTGCTGAGCTGAGGTGAATCCTATGGGAAACTGTGTCACTGCAGCAGCACAAAGAGGAAACAGAGAAATCTGAGTCCTGTGTGTTTCTTCTGTTGGAGGAATTTTTAAAAGCTTTTGTCTCCGTTTAGTTTCAAGTTGAGGAGCCGAGTGTCGCCCAGTGTCAGAGGGACCACACCCAGACTGCCACAGATCACTTTACACACACACACACACACCACACACACACACACACACCACACACACACACACACACAC